CTGAGAGTGCGCTCATCCAATGGAAAGTCAGTGCCATTTCAACTTCAGCTAAGATGTTTCACCCAAGTTTTGAAAAAATTGTGGTATCTATTCAAAACTGGAAAGTAATAAATATGCTTATAAATGCTATCATCATAGCTAATTCCAAATTCCTGAAGGAGATGAGAATGAGCTGATAAGGCATCCGTTAATCTTAAATCATTCTCTGGGGTCTAAGATCCCCAAATTCTACTGACTGTAAACAGTAGAATCAGGATTTTTAGGATAGGAGATAACTTTCTAGGTGGTTCTTCTTCTGAGAGAAAGTTCTGGAAATATCCCGGAGCAGGAGAGCCTAGGGTTTGGAATGTAATAGCCTTAGCTTTTCAAACAACCAATGGGTGCCCTTGAGTAAGTCATTTCCACATTCGGCGTCTCTGTTTTCTTGAATTATAGAATGAGGTATTTGAGCCAAAGTCTCCACCAGCTGTAAAACTGTGCAATTCTCTAAGTAATAGTTTACCACATTGCTGGCAAGATGGCTTCAATAATCAGAATGATCCAATTAACACTGCAATATGGAATATTCTATTTGTAGTTTCAAAAAATAGACTATTTCAGAGTGGAAAGAGTTCAGATGGTGAAATCCAGTCACTTCATTTTTTAAAAGAAATAAAGAATCTGACGTCTAAAATGTTAAACATTTCTGTTAAATTATAAGCTGATTAGTGGTAGAAGCAAGACCAGGCTGCCTGACTAGTCCCGTTTGCACTAAACCACACTGTTATTCAGTTGGCTTCAGACCGCTTTCTTCACTAGAAGCTGCCTTGGGCCTCTGTATGATCCACAGTGTGGCTTTCATGCCTCCCGTTAAATGCAGCCTATATCACAGCTGGGCTTTACTGGCCTCAGGGTTATTAGTTTCCCAGGCATCCAACCCAGGAAACATTAGAAGAATGACCTGAAGGTCTTCATGAAATGTGCCCAAGATAAAATACTTTAAAAAGTCCTGTGAGGTTCGTCTAAGACAGCAAATATCTACACACCATCCATTTGTGTTCTGTTTTCTCAAAGGAGTGCTTCACAGGTAGGAAGATCCTAGGGAAACTGTATCTGACCCAACAGCACTAGAAACTAGGCTGCAGCCTCAATTGTGTAAGCACTTTGTCACTCTGGCTTCAGGCCACTGTGACAGCAGGACAGTACCCCTGACGTATATATGGAGATTCCACAGGTAGGTATCCATGCCACCTGACACAGGTTCTGCCCTGGCGGCCACTCACACAGACCCTGTACCTATTTCTGGCTGTGGAATGCTGGTGGCTGCTGGCATATAACAAAGGCTACACTGAAAAACTGTCCCCACCACTTCCCCAGGTATGAAATCTTTGGAGAGACTGCTCTGAAAACCTTTTAGGAACAACCTGGGAATTTCTGTGCAAGAGCAATGCTGCATGCCACCCAGCATGTTGCAATTTGTTCCAACATGAGACAATTTGTTCCAAAGAGCACAACTGGCGGCTACACATCAAACCCTATATTATGTTGGATCCAGCAACCGGGTTGAATCTCCCAGACATAATGATGTGTGAAAGAAGCCAGACACAAACGAGGACGTGCCGTACGATTCCATTTACACAGAATCAAAAATAAAATTAAAAGCAGGCAAAATGAATCTATAATACTGACGAAAGTCTGAATGGTGGTTACTTCTTGAATGGGGAATATTGATGGGAAAGGGGTACAAGAGCCTCCTAAGGTGCTGGAAATGCTCATTTTCTTCATCTAGGTAGCAACTACACAGGTGTAAAAACACTTAATTCATCAAGCTCTACAGTTCAGATATGTATGCATTTTACTGAAAATGTTATACCTCAATAAAAAAAGAATTGAAAATATTGCATGGGATCTCCTAATATAAAGGTAGAATAAGCTTTCTTCCTTTCCTGTAGCATATCTGAGATTCTTTGAACTGAGTGTTTGCAAATAACATTCTTACTAATAACAGTAGCTAAATTAAATTTTTTATGTACCAGGCCCTGTGCAGGGAGACATATGAATTATCTGCTTCAAGTCCTTGCAACACCTACAGAAGGTAGATACCATCCAAATCTCCATTTCACAGATGGGAAAACAGAGACACAGAGAAGTAAAGTAACTTGTCCAAGTATAACAGCAAATCAAACGGCAGAACTAGCAAATCATATTCGAACCCAAAGCAGTCTCTGACTTCAGAAACTTTGTTCTTAATTGATCTCAATGTTTTATCATATGCTGCAGGATCAGGGGATTTTTTTTTTTTTTAAGTCTGATAGTATCTGATTGGTTTTATCTTTTCCCCAGTGCCTGAGAAGCACCTTCCGCATTAAGAAAAAAGAGAACTGGCCAGGTGCAGTGGCTCATACCTGTAACCCCAACACTTTAGAAGGCCAAAGACAGCAGATCACTTGAGCCCAGAAGTTTGAGACCAACCTGGGCAACATGGCAAAACCCCATTTCTACAAAATGCAGACCAAAAAAAAATATATCTGAAGGTGGTGGTGCATGCCTAATATCTATAGACCCAGCTAGCTGGGGTAGTGGGGGTGGGGCTGAGGCAGGAGGATCGCTTGACTCTGTGTTTTGGGGGGGGCATTGAGGCTGCAGTGAGCTGTGATCTGCCACTGCCCTCCAGCCTGGGTGACAGAACAAGACCCCATCTCAAAAAAGAAAAAAGAAAAGGAAAAGAAAAAGGAGGAAAGAGAATCAGGATTTGGGTGGTAGGTTCACAGTCTCCGATTAAATTCCTGAGGTTCATTCAAGATATCCACCTAGTTTAGTCCAAGAGCCTGTTTTCTGCGCCCTTAGTAGAGGAAAGTGGGTGCTATTATTGGCTTGTTATAGTCTCAAATTATTCCTTTCTCTTAAAAGAAATACACAGTGGGGGCAACACGGAGTGTTTTCATATGCTAGTCACTGGGGCTTTCTGGAACACCATGTCCCAGGATGAAATTTCCACAGCATGCCACACACTTTTCAGATCTGCTTTAGACCTTTTGAAAAGACTAAAGGGGCTTGGTTCCCCCTTTTTCCAGCTTTTATATTGTTATTATATTAAATATAAAGTATCTGCGGAACCTGGAGAAGGCATTAACCACTCTTTAATTATAAAACGCATAGCTTGGTATTTTCCAGACACCTGCTTTTATCCTTTATGACCCTCTCAATTAGTTCCTCTGAAGTTCCCATATGAAAACCTGTTGGATTATTGATTTCTGGATTAAAAGGAGCTATAAACTATAGACCCTCTCAAAATCCATCAGGGGAAGGGGATAAGGCAGAAAGCAACTTAATGATGTTTTAGGCCCTAGTAGCAACCAGGCCTGAATGTTTGGGCTCCACAAGGCAAATAGAGAATTACTCCCCAGCCCACCCCTGCTCCCCGCAGTAACTAGTAATGAACTCAGTCACTTTTAAAGTAACTTGAAAAAATGATTGAATGTTGACATTTTCAGTAAGAAACTGGTCTCATCCCACGCCTGCCCCAATGACCAGTGGTGGCTCTCTGCCCACAGGAGTCGGCTGGGTCACAGCCCTCTCCTTCACCCCAGCCCCAGCTCCAGAACTGAGCTCATCAAGGATAAGTCACTGGGCAGCAGCCTCAAGAATGGAGAGTGTGCAGTGTCTCCTCCTGAGCTGGGAGAGAGAGGACTGAGCAGCAGGCTCCTCTACCTGCCCTTTCCGCTCTGATCTCCATCCTGCATCAGCCACCGATGTTCTGCAAGACTTTAATCCTTCTCCCAACCGACCTCCAGCACTCCGCCTAGCTCCAGCCAGCCCCAGAACTGAGTCCCATTCCCTGTGATCACGTCTTGGATCCACCCATGTTGGCAGACTGAATTTCTCAGAGCTGTTCCTTTTGGGTACTGTCTTTTGCACCGTAACTAGGCTTCACCTAAATCAAACCAGAACGCACTGGCCTTTGGCTATACAATTGAGGATGGCACAGCTGGCCTCAGTCACTGGGCCATCTCCCTCTGCTCTATCATGTGCCATGAGAAGGTGATCTTGCCCCAGCTCCTCACCTTCACTTGGGCCCTATAGGTGCCAAGGTCTGCCAGATCTACCAAGGACCCACATCATGTTAAAGTCCACCCTGGTTTGCTCAACTGCCCCATAAATTCAGGTTCTACCATCTTTGCATTAGAGTTGTGAATGATTTCAAAGATGAATAATCTCAAACGCTGTTATGGCTTCCAGGTGAATTGAGGATGAAAGGGAATCACAACTTCCAGTGCCCAGCTTACACATCTCAGCCAAGCAAGGCCTTGTTCTATAGTTAGCCTTCTTTAAATGATTTAAACACACATGCACACACACATACACACACACACTCACAGACACATGTGCACACTTTGTTCCTTTCTGAAAAGTAATCTTGGGGATAAAAGCATGTCACATTGGTGCTGGTGAAGGCAATGAAGTAAATGCTGAGGGCAAAGAAGTAACACATAAGCAGAAAACAGAACTTTTGGATAATTTCGGAATTGAATCATCACTGTGGTGATAGCTAAGATGAACAAATCCATTATATATTTCTGATGAAAGTAAGAAAAAGTGATTCTCACGCAAATGCAGAGAAAGAACTGCACATAGTATAGGAAATTCTACGCAAACACAGGCAATCCAGATGTTCTGTGATCCTTCGAGGGTGTCAAGGGTCTGCTGTACTAGTATTGCCAAAAGCAGGCATCCCCAAACTTTTTACACAGGGGGCCAGTTCACTGTCCCTCAGACTGTTGGAGGGCCGCCACATACTGTGCTCCTCTCACTGACCACCAATGAAAGAGGTGCCCCTTCCTGAAGTGTGGCAGGGGGCCGGATAAATGGCCTCAGGGGGCCGCATGCGGCCCGCGGGCCGTAGTTTGGGGACGCCTGGCCAAGAAGAAAATATAATTACTTTGAAGGTCTTTTAGAGACACTGTTTCCTGACCACTGGCAAACAGCAAGGCCAAAGGTAGATCCTTGTCCAATGTTCTTACCTGGTCGTCATAGCGGTAAGTGAGGAACTGCTCCCCTGTTGTATCTTCCAGAAAACTTCCCTGAGGAGAAAGTGCAAACTCAGGAAGGAAATAGGCTCCGGGAGATTTCTCAGCTGTGGTCTGAAAAACAAGATCATTGGGTCACAAATAAGGCTCCAGTAAGGAAACCCTGCCAAGTAAAGTCCAAGAAGGATACAATGATAAAGTCCAAGATACAATGGTATTGGGTAAATACAGCTGTTCCAAATTGACCAAAACAAACCGTTACAGGGCTCATGCAAGTCCAAATTCCAGAAAAATCTACCACTAAAAGCTCTACAAAGAAACAAAAAGGGAAGTGCCTTCTCTTGGCAAAACACCAAGATAAGGAACACCAGGTGCCTGTGTCGGGGCACCATTAGGCCGGGATATCACAGTGGCCCGAATCAAACGGACAGCCATGGTATTTATTCCCCAACACGTGCCTCTCACCCTTCCCCACTCCCTCTGCTCCCCATCTTCCAGCAACTCAGCCACAGAGTCGTTAATTTTGTTTAGTTGTTGCAAATCTATTGTTTTTAGGATTTTCTTTTCTTCCTTCCTTCTTTTTTTTTCTTTTTTTGGCGAAGGAGTGGGAAACAAAAATTTTCTCCCATACCACAACAAAAATGCACTTCATTGTAGAAACTTTAGAACATATAAATGAGCACAGAAGAAAATAAAAATTACCCATAATCTTTTCAACCTGTAATAACCACTTTTAATTGTTTTGGCATATATCCTTTGAGACTTTTTCCTCATACTTCTTTGTTTAAAAATCCAAGCTTAAATAAACATGGATATTGTAGACTCTGTTTAGTTCATGGAAAGCTCATAGCCTGGTCCATTTTCCCGCTGCTGACAAAGACAAACCCAAGACTGGGAAGAAAAAGAGGTTTAACTGGACTTACAGTTCTACATGGCTAGGGAGGCCTCAGAATCATGATGGAAGGCAAAAGATACTTCTTACGTGACAGTGGCAAGAGAAAATGAGAGGGATGCAAAAGTAGAAACCCCTGATAAAACCGTCAGATCTCATGAGATTTATTTACTCCCACAAGAACAGTACAGGAGAAACTGCCCCCATGATTCAAATTATCCCCCACAGGGTCCCTCCCACAACATATGGGAATTATGGAAGTATAATTCAAGATGAGATTTGAGTGGGGACACAGAGCCAAACCGTATCATTCTACCCCTGGCCCCTCCAAATCTCATGTTCTCACATTTCAAAACCAATCATGCCTTCCCAACAGTCCCCCAAAGTCTTAACTCATTCCGGCATTAACCAAAAAGTCCACAGTCCAAAGTTTCATTTGAGACAAGGCATGTCCCTTCTGCCTATGAGCCTGTGAAATCAAAAGCAATATAGTTACTTCCTAAATACAATGGTATTGGATAAATACAGCTGTTCCAAATGGGAGAAATTGACCAAAACAAAGGAGTTACAGGGCTCATGCAAGTCCAAAATCCAGTGGGGCAATCAAACTTTAAAGCTTCAAAAATGATATCCTTTGACTCCAGGTCTCACATCCAGGTCACGCTAATGTAAGAGGTGATTTCCCATGGTCTTGGGCAGCTCCGCCTCTGTGGCTTTGTAGGGTACAGCGTCTCTCCTGGCTGCTTTCACAGGCAGGCATATAGTGTCTGTGACTCTTTCAGGAACATGGTCCAAGCTGTCGGTGGATCTGCCATTCTGGGGTCTGGAGGATGGTGGCCCTCTTCTCACAGCTCCACTAGGCTGTGCCCCAGTAGGGACTCTGTGTAAGGGCTCTGACCCCACATGTCCCTTCCATGAGGGCTCCACCCCTGCAGCAAACTTCTGCCTAGGCATCCAAGTATTTCCACACAACCTCTGAAATCTGGGCAGAGGTTCCCAAATCTCAACTCTTGACTTCTGTTGCAGGCTCAACACCTTTGGAAGGTGCCAAGACTTGGGCTTCCACCCTCTGAGGCCACAGCTCGAGCTCTACACCGGCCCCTTTCAGCCACAGCTGGAGCAGCTGGGACATAGGGCACCAGGTTGCTAGGCTGCACACAGCACAGGGATCCTGTGCCCAGCCCACGAAACCACTTTCTCCTCCTGGGCCTCCAGGCCTGTGATGGGAGGGGCTGTCATGAAGGTCTCTGACAAGGCCTGGAGACATTTCCCGCATAGTTTTGGGGATTAACATTAGGTTCCTTGCTACTCATGCAAATTTCTGCAGCTGGCTTGAATTTCTCCCCAGAAGATGGATTTTTCTTTTCTATCACATAGTCAGCCTGCATTTTCTGAACTTTTATGCTCTGTTTTCCTTTCAAAACTGAAGGCCTTTAACAGCACCCAAGTCACCTCTTGAATGCTTTGTTGCTTAGACTTGTCTTCCACCAGGTATCCTAAATCTTCTCTCTCAAGTTTAAACTTCCACAGATCTCGAGGGCAGGGGGAAAATGCCACCAGTCTCTTGGCCAAAACATAACAAGAGTCACCTTTGCTCCAGTTCCCAACTTCCTCACCTCCATCTGAGATCACCTCAGCCTGGACGTTTTTGTTCATATCATTATCAGCATTTTGGTCAAAGCCATTCAACAAGTCTCTAGGGAGTTCCAAACTTTCTCACAGTTTCCTGTCTTCTTCTGAGTCCTCCAAACTGTTCCAACCTCTGCCTGTTACCCAGTTCCAAAGTCTCTTCCATATTTTTGGATATCTTTTCATCAGCACCTCATATTACTGGTACCAATTTACTGTATTAGTCTGTATTCATGCTGCTGATAAAGACATACTTGAGACTGAGAAGAAAGAAAGGTTTAATTGGACTTACAGTTCCACATGACCGGGAAGGCCTCAGATTCATGGTGGAAAGCAAAGGCACTTCTTACATGGCAGCGGCAAGAGAAAATGAAAGGGATGCAAAAGTGGAAACTGCTGATAAAATCATCAGCTCTTGTGAGACTTTTTCACTGCCATGAAAACAGTATGAGGGAAACCGCTCCCATGATTCAAATCATGTCCCACCAGGTCTCTCCCACAGCATGTGGGAATTACGGGAGTACAATTCAAAATGAGATTTAGGTGAGGACACAGAACCAAACCATATAACCTGGCATCTGAATCATTAGACATAAGTCACAATGGTTGGAGTCTGAGGGGGTCAGAAAGGATACCCTCTTTGGGGGAATATGCCTTTGATATGATGACCGAATGGACTTGCTACCATCACACTATCATCCACCTCCTGGGAGAGCCTGTCCAAGGGAAGATTGAGGAGGTAGAGGGCTTACCAGGCTGCCTTGATTGCTTCAAGGAGGAAAGTAATAAAGGAGACAGAATCTGTAGTGCTTAGCCTCGTCCAATCAAAAATACATGGATCAGTGACTATACCCCTGACTGGATACCTCACTCCCCCTGCTTAGGAAGAAATGAGTCAGAAATAAAATGAGGCCACATATGTTACTCTAAGGAAATTGCTCTCTGCAGATAGGAGGAGCAGGGAATAAATGTATTCCTCTGACACCTCTGCTGCTCCAATGGACTCATTCTCAAACTGCAGCAGGAACTATGGTTTATGCCAAAACATCCCACTGAATATTGTGTTTTAGAAAGGGAAATTAATGTGATCATTCTGTCAAGGAACATAGAAGAGATAACTTCACTAGACTAGATGGTCTATACAGCACTAGACTGTTAAAATAATTTGAAGATTTTCTTACTAAATTTCATTTATGTGAGAGATTTGGCACCCCTATTTTTTTTTTTTTTTTTGAGATGGAGTTTTGCTCTCGTTACCCAGGCTGGAGTGCAATGGCGCGCTCTCGGCTCACCACAATCTCCGCCTCCTGGGTTCAGGCAATTCTCCTGCCTCAGCCTCCTGAGTAGCTGGGATTACAGGCACGCGCCACCATGCCTGGCTAATTTTTTGTATTTTTTGTAGAGACGGGGTTTCACCATGTTGACCAGGATGGTCTTGATCTCTCGATCTTGTGATCCACCTGCCTCGGCCTCCCAAAGTGCTGGGATTATAGGCGTGAGCCACCGCGCCTGGCCGGCACCACGATTTTTAATTGCTGTTACTGGCTTTAGAGTTCAAAGAATCATCAATTTATTTTTTTTACTTTTTTTTTTTTAGACAGAGTCTCGCTCTGTTGCCAAGACTAGAGTTGAGTGATGTGATTTCAGTTCACTGCAATCTCCGTCTCCCAGGTTCAAGCAATTCTCCTGCCTCAGCCTCCCTAGTAGTTGGGATTACAGGTGCCCACCACCATGCCCAGCTAATTTTTAGTAGAGATGGGGTTTCACCCTGTTGGCCAGGCTGGTCTCGAACACCTGACCTCAGGTGATCCACCCACCTCAGCCTCCCAAAGTGCTGGGATAACAGGTGTGAGCCACTGTACTCAGCCAGAATCATCATTTTAAATACGTAGAGAGACATTAGAAGTCATCTAGGTCAAACTCCTTGTTTCAAAAATGAGTAAACTATAGCTCTGTGAGTTAGGAGACTTACCAGTCACCAAATCTGAGAGAAACTACTCCCGCCACCCACAAAGAGCAAGCGCAAGAGCCCTAAAGTAGAGAGGAGATGAGTGAGTTTGAGGAATAGAGCCAGCTTCCAGCCAGGGCTAGAAGCTTTTAGCAGCCATGTGCAAATACTTGGACAGATTCATTTACCAGAGTGGGGGCAGTTGAAGATCACCACCTTAAAACAGCTTCCTGTATACAGTGGACCTTCCAACGTGATGCTTATATTTAGTTGACCATGCATTCAGTGCATTCAACACATATTTTCTGAGCACCGAATATATGCCTGGCCCAGTTCTCAGAGCTATAGACACAACGAAGAACAACAAAGATCAGGTTCCTATTTTCATGGAGGTTACATCCTGGCCGAGGGGGTCGGCGGGGGGAGATACACAGTAAAATAAGTAAACAATTACATAAATAAGAAAATGAACATTCTAAGTTCTAAAGGAAATGAACAAGATGATGGGAACAATATTGGGGAAGGACTGTTCAATTTTAGATAAGATGGTCGAAAAAGGCATTCCTGAGATTAAGGTAAGATTTCGGATAATACCTCAAACAGGGGGAGCTGGTTATGGAAAAAGCTAAGGGTAAGTATTACCGG